GGATAGAAAGAAGCTGTTAGGAGCACAGGCTGTGGGTGCAGACTCTGTATGTGAAAAGCAGTGCATGACGGGACCAATATTTAGACATTAATAGCGCCAGAGAGACGAAAGCACAGACCATGCGACTGGGATGCGTGTTTGTTCCATATGTGACAGGTTTGAAAGGGTTTTCTGTCCTAATGTGCCCTGAAGTTTTAGAGCTCCTGGTGAGGCCACTGGGCAGTCCCTCCCTGTCAGCATTGCCCATGTGGAGGGGCACACAGTACCTCTGGGGCCTGTGTTGGTGTTAGGTGGAATGTGCCTGTTGAATGTGTGTGTGTGTGTGTGTGTGTGTGTGTGTGTGTGTGTGTGTGTCTGTGTGTGTTTTTTGCTCTGTTGCCCAGGCTGGAGTGCAGTGGCGTGATCGCAGCTCACTGCAATCTCCACTTCCTAGGTTCAAGCAATTCTCCTGCCTCAGCCTTCTGAGTAGCTGGATTACAGGCGCCTGCCACCACGCCTGGCTAATTTTTGCATTTTTAGTAGAGACAGGTGTCACCGTGTTGGCCAGGCTGGTTTCGAACTCTTGACCTCAAATGATCCACCCATCTCGGCCTCCCAAAGTATTAGAATTACAGGCCAGAGCCGGCGAGCCCGGCCACTTGTTGATGTTACAATGAAATCCTTCCTTATGTGGTTATTCCTCTCTGAGTGTTTTGATAATGGACTTAGTGACATGATCAAGTGGCTCCAGAAATTGAGAGTGAATGTTTGGTGTGGTAAATTTCCGTCAAATTCCCTAATAGGTAAAAAACTCTTCACAATGAAATTAGCAAAGGCTGTGATTACTTAGGAAACTATAAACTCTTGGATTATAGAGTATTTCTATATTTTTCTTTAGAAAAATGCTGTCCTGGCTGGGCGGGGTGGCTTATGCCTGTAATCCTAGCACTTTGGGAGTCCAAGGCAGGTGGATCATGAGGTCAGGAGTTTGAGACCAGACTAGCCAAGATGGTGAAACCCTGTCTCTACTAAAAATACAAAAATTAGCCCAGCATGGTGGTGGGCACCTGTAATCCCAGCTACTCAGGAGGCTGAGGCAGGAGAATCACTTGAACCCAGGAGATGGAGGCTGTGATGAGCTGAGATCGCACCACTGCACTCTAGCCTGGGCAACAGAGCAAGACTCTGTCTCAAAAAAAAGAAAAAAGAAAAAAAAAAAAAAGAAAAATACTGTTCTTGAACATTTTTGTTCTTATGATTGCTAATTTCTTGGTTCTTCTACTAGTTGCCTAGTGTTTTTTTTTCTTTTCTTTTCTTTTTTAATCTTACAGTGAGTTTTTTTTTTTTTAAATCTTACAGTGAGAAGCCTAGTGTCTTTTTCTTTTTTTTAATCTTACAGTGAGTTTTTTTTTTAAATCTTACAGTGAGAAGCCTAGTGTTTTTTTCTTTTTCTTTTTCTTTTTTTTAATCTTACAGTGAGTTTTGTTTTTTTTTTAAATCTTAACAGTGAGAAGCCTAGTGTTTTTTTCTGACAGGTTAATATTTGTTATCCCCAGGCTGTGTGGCTGTCAGACTCGTTTATTCTTCCTTTCACTTGTTTTCTTCACTTATAAAATGATTCAGATAATGAGATAATGATAATTATCCCATAATACAGAATAAGCAACATTTATGTGTTGCCGTATAGCACAGGGAGCACTTTGATGTATTTCATTCCCTGTAAATTCCATGCAGCACTGTGTGGTGGTACATGATTGCTACGGCCATGTTTATAGAGGACACTGGAGCTCAGAGCCCCATATGGCCGCCTGCCTTAGGCCATAGAGCTGACTGGCGACAGTGCAAGACCTCTATTACAAATCCCATATTTTCCCCAGTAAATCTTCTGGTTTGAATCCATTGACTGAATTACATTTTATTGGAAGAGAATGGAACTTTTTAAAAAAATTACAATATATGATACTTGATTTAATGGATTTAATGAATAATTGGCTATTATAGTGATGCATTACGTTTTTCTTAAGAGGTCTATCCAAAGAACACGTTTATTTGGAAAACTCTTTTGAAAATGCTTACCTAATCTGTTGATTAAATGAATGTAACGTGTTGTCTCCAGTTGAAGAACTTTTCTAACTTTATTTAAATGATTTCACGTAAAGGTAGAAAAGTTATCCAGAAGCACATGCTATATTATAATTATAAGCTTTTTAGGATGCTATTGTTTTTTTGAGACAGGGTCTCTTTCTGTCGCCCAGGCTGAAGTACAGTGGCACAGTCCTGGCTCACGGCAGCATTGACCTCCCTGGGCTAAAGTGATTCTCCTACCTCAGCCTCCTGAGTAGCTGGGACTACAGGCTGGCTAATTTTTGCTTTTTTTTTTTTTTTTTTAATAGAGACAGGGTTTCTCCATGTTGCCCTGACTGGTCTTGAACTTCTGGGCTCAAACAATCTGCCTGCCTCAGCTTCCCACAGTGCTGGGATTTGGATGCTATTTTGAAGTCGAGCTTTAAAATGTCATTTGCAAGTGTTTGTTGCTGATATATAAAACTGCAGTTGACTTTGGTCTAGTAACTTGTGTCCTGTGGTCTTGCTGCATTCACTCACTGCTTTTACTACTTGTTATTTTCACTAGTTTGTAGCTTTGTAGATTCCTTAGAATTTTCCCATATGGACTGTATTGTCATGAGCAAATAGAGACCATTTTATTCTCCTTCTTTGTTTGTGATCTTTGTGCCACTTATAGAGTTGGTTAGTTTGCTTATTGCAATGTGTGTGCTACTGTAAGAGGCTTGAGTTAATGCTGAGTTAGACTTGAGTTAACGCTGCTGAGTATTTGCACAGCGAGAAGACTCTATAGCCTCACTTAGAAGTTCTAGATACAATGTTGAAGAATTTTATTATTAGAAAATTGTTTAAATTAACAATCTTAATTGCAATTTTAAACAGTTATTGGAATTTTAAATAATTTTATTGGAATTTAAACAAATTTTAAGCAAAATTATTGGAATTTTGAACAATTTTCAAATATATTTTGATAAACGTCAATGTCTGTTTTGAGATTGTGCTTTGTGCTGTGCTGAGATGCACTGTCAGGAATTTTGTAAGGTATTTGTTGGCAATTTTGACAGGTGTTCAAAAGTTAGTTTTACGTTATTTTATCTTTTTTTTTTTTGAGATGGAGTTTTGCTCTTGTTACCCAGGCTGGAGTGCAATGGCGCAATCTTGGCTCACCGCAACCTCCTGGGTTCAAGTAATTCTCCTGCCTCAGCCTCCCAAGTAGCTGGGACTACAGGCACTCACCACCATGCTCAGCTAATTTTTGTATTTTTAGTAGAGACGGGGTTTCACCATGTTGACCAGGATGGTCTCGATCTTTTGACCTCGTGATCCACCCGCCTCAGCCTCCCAAAGTGCTGGGATTATAGGCGTGAGCCACCGTGCCCGGCCTTTATCATTTATTATTATTTTTGTTATTTGGAGGGGTGAGACTAACCATGGCTTAAGAAGATTCACCTCCTGGGAGGAAAGGATGGCTAATTTTGTAGCCTAAGTTTACAGAAAAGCATGTTAAGCAAAGTGAGAGAAAATGAGGAATGAAATTAAGATAGAAAATCAAGTATCTAAAATTCAAATGTATCCTTGACTGTTCATCGTAGCAGTATGTCTTGAACAAAATAATATTATGTGCTTTGAAATGTGACATGGAGGGGGAGCAGGAGAAAGAGCTTCAAAGCTAACTCTAGCACTTCCGTGCTGAGTGCGCTGGGGTAAATGACTTACCCTTATTATTATTATTTTTTGATACTGTAAAGTAGAATACTAAGCAGCTTGCAGTGGTCAGCATTAGAAATAGTATACATATCCATAAGCTGCACGTGGTGACTCACACCTGTCTCCCAACACTTTAGCAGGCTGAAGTAGGTGGATCGCTTGAGCACAGGAGTTTGAGACCAGCCTAGGCAACATGGCAAAACCCTATCTGTACAAGAGATACAAAAATTACCTGGGTATGGTGGCATGTGCCTATAGTCCCAGCTACTTGGAAGCTGAGGTGGGATAGTCTTGAGCCCAGGAGATTGGGACTGCAGTGAGCCAGGATTCATCCTGCCATTATCCTCCAGCCTAGGTACCAGAGTGAGATGCTGAAGAAAAAAAGAAAGAAAGAAAGAAGGAAGGAAGGGAGGGAGGGAGGGAGGGAAGGAAAGAAGCATATCAGACATGCAATTACATGCGTTACAAGATTTGAGCCTTTATTAGGTACTTACTGTTATTACAGATTGAGTATCCCTCATCAGATATGCTTGGTACTAGAAGTGTTTCAGATTTTTAATTTGTTTTTGATCTTGGAATATTTGCATTATAGTTACTAGTTCAGCATCCCTAACCTGAAAATCTGAAATCTGAAATGCTCCAAAATCTGAAACTTTTTGAACATCAGCATGATGGTTTTAACAAAAATGCTCAGTGAAGCATTTCAGACTTCTGGATTAGAGATGTTTAACCTGTATTTATGTATTACATTATTATAACGTATTCATGAATGCGATCGATAGCATGTGTCACCAAAGGAAGGGAATAATACCTTGGCGGATCCCTTTCCTGCTAAAAGTTTTGGACCTAAAACCATGTATTCCTGGAGACTTGCACCAATGAATGAGGAAGAACGCTGATGTTTATTACAGTGAAACTTCTGCCAGCTTTCCGCTGTCCTTGTCTTCCTTTGCCTGTTGTCAGACAAGCATGTTCATTTCTAGAGCCTCTGAGGCTCTCACCTTGCTGTGAACATAGGTGGCATTTGGGAAACGATGGCCTGGCGGTGCAGGAGCCCTGGGAGCCCAGGTTGGGGCGAAGCCACCGTGGTGGGTGTCGCTGGAGCGGCTGTGGGCTCACTGCTGATGACTGCACCCTCTGGCCCTGCGCCACACCTGCCTGCCTGCTGGCCTTGCTTCCCTCTCCCTCTTTCTCTGTCTGACTACCTGGCTAGGTGTCCTTGGCTAATGCACTATTTCTCTCTCTTCTAGAATTCTGAAGGTGGACTCTATGTATGCATGAATACATTTTTGGCCTTTGGAAGGGAACACGTTGAAAGACATTTTCGAAAAACGGGACAGAGCGTGTACATGCACCTGAAAAGACACGTGCGAGAGGTGAGCGCCGTCCGGCCAGCCTCTTGCTGGCTTTCCCGCCTGGGGCTTTACCCTGCCCACAGCCCTTCTCATTCTGCCTGATGAGGAGAAACAGAAGCAGTACAGTTTCCAGATCCAGAGACTCTCCCAGACCTTACCTTAACCCGCTCGATTTTCCTTCCTCTAGACTTCTGATTGGTGTGTTTAAGAAGACCTGGGTTGACTAATTGGAAAAGAAAAAAAAAACAAACTAGGTATAAAAATATAGAAAAATCAGAGACACTCATGGGTCCGAAAATCAGAAATAAAAACATCTGAATGTTCTTGCTTCAGATTTGTTTTGTTCTGCTTTTTAGCACAAGAAATAGAGTTTTCTTAAAAATTCAAGTGCCTTCTGTCCCTCCCCCTCACCAGAAGTAACCACTGCTGTGAACTTTTTCTGTGTCATGCATTCCATTATATTTACTAACAAATGCCTATTCGAGAACGATATTTAGCATGACTCTATATGTTTTAGAGACGTAGATAAATGCTGTCACACTCTAAAATTCTTGAATTTTCCCCCTCAGCATCCAGAAGATTCATTTCTTTTGGAATCTGTCCATGTTGAGATGCATCTGGATGTATTTGATTCATTTTAATAGCTGTTTGGTTTTTCATCTTGGGGCCCTTAGTTTCTTCTCTTTCCCCCTTGATGAACATTTAGAATGTTTCTATTTGTTGCTACTGTAAAGAATGCATCGGTTAACACTTTTATATTCTTCTCCTTGGGGCGCATGTGCCAGATTTCTTGAGGAAGTGGTAGCGCTCGTGTTACGCTCGTGTTATGTTTTACTGGATAGTGCCCAGTCCCTCCCCAAAGTGACAGCACCTGTTTACACTCTGATCTGCAGAAATGAAGATTTCTCACTTCCCCACACCCTCACCAACCCCTGGGCAGAGTTCTGTTTTTGCCAATCTAATGAGTAGGAAGTGGCATCTAAATATTTGGCACATTTCTTTGTACTTTCCGTTCTGGTTTTTTCTTTTTGGATTTGCCTATTTATATTTTTGGCCTATTTCTTTATGGATTTTTCTTTTTCTTATAAGTATGATGAGTTGTTTTTACATTCTGGATACCAGACCTTTGCTACATACTAAATTTCCTTTGAGCCTGTGGCTTGTCGTTTTACTTTGTTTGTGAATTATTTTGTAGAATAGAAGTTGTAAGTTTTGAAGTAGTTAGATTTCTGAAACTTTTTGTCTTATGAGTTGTGCTTTTTGTATCTTGCCTAAGAAATTGTTTCCTACCTCAAGGTCGTAAAGACATTTTGTACTAGTCTGTTTTCATGTTGCTGATAAAGACATACTCAAGGCTGGGCAATTTACAAAAGAAAGAGGCTTAACAGACTTACGGTTCCATGTGACTGGGGGGGCGGGTGTGTCACAATCATGGCGGAAGGCAGAAAGGAGCCAGTCACATCTTAGGTGGATGGGCAGGCAAAGAGACAGCTTGTGCAGGGAACTTCCTGTTTTAAAACCGTTAGATCTCATGAGACTCATTCACAGTCATGAGAACAGCGAGGGAAGGACCCGCCCCATATTTTAATCACCTCCCACAGGATCCTCCCGTGACATGGGGGAATTGTGGGAGTTCCAGTTCAAGATGAGATTTGAGTGGGGACGCAGCCAGACCATATCACATTTCTTATAGTAGTTTAAAATTTTTTTTATTTATTTTAAGTATGTGTGAATGTGACTATTTTAACATTTTAGGTCTTTAATCCATCTGTAGGTTATTTTTTAATTTGTGTGAAGAATGGGAATCTATTTTTTTCATATTGATAACCAGTATCATTATTCATAGAGTGGTATAACCTTCCCAGTGATTTATAGTATCACCCTTTATGCACACATGCACGCACACACATGCGCACACAGACGCACACATCCATGCGCACACCCCCCACACGTGCATACACACACATTTTGTTTGTTTTTTGAGACATGGCCTCACGCTGTCTCCCAGGCCGGAGTGCAGTGACACTACCACGGCTCATTGCAGCTGCAGCCTCCTGGGCTCAAACGATCCTCCCACCTCAGCTCCCAAGTACCTGGGGCCACAGGCGTGTGTCACCACATCTGGCTGATTTCTGCGTTTTTTGTAGAGAGTGGTTTTGCCATGTTTTCCAGGTCACCGTGTTGCCTAGCCTTGAGCTCGTGGGCCTAAGCAATCCACCAGCTTCCCAGAGTGCCAGGGTTACAGGTGGGAGCCACTGCGCCTGGCTACCCTTTTATATTTTAGCTTGTTCACATGTGGGTCTCTTTTGGGTCTCAGGTGCGTTCTGTCGATCTAATTTGTGTGTCTCTGCTTTGGTACGGCAAGCCTTGCTATCTGCTTGTGCAAGCAGTTTTTCCATGCTCATTTTTCTTTCTTTTTCCGATTCTATAGTTGAATCCATATTTATTTTTCCACAATTTTCCTGGGTATTTTTAGGCATTTATTTTTCTGTATGGATTACGGAATTAGTTCATCTAGTTTAAAAAATCCTATTGAGATTGTGATGACCGTCACATTGAATTTATAGATTAACTATCATCCACATCCTTGTATAAGCTCGATGAGGGCACAGACTTTGGTTTATTCACTGCTGTGTCCTCAGCACTTAGCAGTGCTTATCATATAGTCCGTGCTTTATAAATATTTATCAAGTATTTAACACAGATACCTCTTTATTCACATTTCCTTTTTGTCATTCAATAATTTTTGTAATTTTCTATAAAGGAACTCACACATAAAATGTGTGCGTGTGTAAAGGGTGATACTATAAACACTGGGAAAGGTTGTACTACTGTATGAATAGTGAAAAAATATATGTATTTTTACCATGACCGCTTTCCTTTATTTTTTACACATTAACTGGTTGTTGATGGTATTTGGAGATACTGTTTTTTTTTTTCTTTTTTTTTTGAGACGGAGTTTTGCTCTTGTTACCCAGGCTGGAGTGCAATGGCGCGATCTCGGCTCACTGCAACCTCTGCCTCCTGGGTTCAGGCAATTCTCCTGCCTCAGCCTCCTGAGTAGCTGGGATTACAGGCACTCACCACCATGCCCAGCTAATTTTTTGTGTTTTTAGTAGAGACGGGGTTTCACCATGTTGACCAGGATGGTCTCGATCTCTTGACCTCGTGATCCACCTGCCTCGGCCTCCCAAAGTGCTGGGATTACAGGCATGAGCCACCGCGCCCAGGCCGGAGATATTGTTAATTAAGAGATGTTGATTTATGTTTAGCAGTGCTGTTCGACGTTTACGTTAGTTCTGATTGTTTGTACACTATTTTGGATCTCCTCAGTGATCAAGGCTGATTTGCAGTTTCTCTAATTTCTCACCTTAGCCTTCGTAATATAGTCTCTGTTTAAGTTCCTAACAAAGAAGAGATCTCAAAATTGGACAATGGGGAGAGCAGGAGGAAGAGGAGGAAGAAAGGCCAGAAGGTCAGATGAGGCATGAATGCCGTGATGAGCTTCATGGTCATTTGATGTTGACTTGCTACTGAATGACTTACATTCACTGATTCTGTTAGGTTGTGCATCATAATTCTTGTGAAGTCTGTTTTGTATAACTAAATAGAAAGTGATGAAATTTAGGAAACTCAAAAAAAAGAAAGAAAGAGACGGAGGCCCAGAGACTTAATAACTTGCTCAGGGTCACAAGGTCAGCAGCAGAACTGTGGGATGCTGGTACATGTGTACAGTCAGCCCTGGCTCTGGAATTTCAGGTTATATGTTGCACTCTCTGACCACAATCTCCGCTCACTTATTCCTGTTTTGATCATTTGTTGTGGGTTCTGCAGACCTTCAGGCCCATGACTTGTTGAGCCTGCCTCTCACGGTTCAGTTCTTCCAGCGTTCTGAGCCCGCCGCACCTGAGCTGACTCTGAGCCCCTTGCCTCGCTCCGTGGCCATCCTCCAGAACTCCGTCACGTCACCGTCCACTTCCACGCGCGGATGCCGTGGTGGGCTGGAGACCGTGCCAGCTTCCGGCCTTCCTCTTCCACCGCGCCCTCCAAGCCCAGCAAGCCTTCTGTTCTGCGTCCTGCCCCACTCCTGGGAGCGGCCGTTCTCACCTTTGGATGCTTCCTTAAGCCTTTTCTGTGCATCCCCTCATCATTCTCAGAAAGGTACCTTGACTTGTACTTTGCAGGAAAAAAGGGAATCCCTGGACAGGAACTCCCCTAACTTACTCCTTTGTCCTGGAAGCTCACCTGCATCTGGTTCCACTTTCGATTCCATCTCAGCTGAAAGCGATGTGTCCTCAGGGTCCTGTTCCCCACCTCTGGAAACTTGCTCCTTCATTAACTCCACTTCCTCTGATGTCTCCAGCTCCTCCCTCTTCTGGCTAATTTTCTCCCACCTTAAAAAAGAACACACCTGGCTGGTCTCAGTGGCTCACACCTGTAATCCCAGTGTTTTGGGAGGCCGAGGTGGGAGGCTGGTTTGAGGATGGGAGACCACCCTGGGCAACATAGTGAGAACCCTGTCTTGACAAAAAAATAAAATAATTAGCCTGGAATGGTGGCCATGCTTGGTCCCAGCTACTCGGGAGGCTGAGGCAGGAGGATCACTTGAGCCCAGGAATTTCAGGTTACAGAGTGAGCTGGTATCAGGCCACTGGACACCTGGGCAACAGAGCAAGACTCTGTCTCCTGTTGTTTTTTTCTTTTTTTTGAGATGGAATCCCACTCTGTTGCCCAGGCATGCAGTGCAGTGGCGCAACCTTGGTTCATTGCAACCTCTGCCTCCCAGGTTCAAGCAGTTCTCCTGCCTCAGCCTCCCGAGTAGCTGGTATTGCAGGTGCACACCACCACGGTTGGCTAATTTTTGTATTTTTAGTAGAGACGGGGTTTCATCCTGTTGGTCAGGCTGATCTCGAACTCCTGACTTCATGATCTGCCCGCCTTGGCCTCCCAAAGTGCTGGGATTACAGGCATGAGCCACCCTGCCTGGCTGAGAGTCTGTCTCTTAAAACAAACAAACAAACCACGAAACCATCTTTCTAATTTGTGTCCTTCTTCAGTCACTGGACTCTTTGATTTAGAGCTTCTTTAAAAGCATTTCTGATCTTACCTGCACTGATCTGCCACTGAGACTCAACACTGCAGTGTGAACCCGGTAACCCACTAACACCGCCCACGTGCTCAGTGGCCCCTTAGCCGCCGCGCATTGGGGCTGTGTTTTGGCTCCAACGTTACTTGACTTTTTGAGTGTTTGCGTCTCTGAGCTTCTCTCCTTGGGACCTGTACCTCTCCTGCTTCCTTTGACACCATCCTCTCTGGGCTTTCCTCCTGTCCTTTCCCAGTGTCTTCTGCCAGCATCTCTTCCGTTGTTTACCTCTTAGTTATCGGCATTTCCTGGGATGCCATTTGCCAATCCTGTCTTCTTCCTCAGAAAGATGCTTTTCTTCGTCAGGGTTATCCGTATGTTTGTTTAACCGCTTTTTTCTAAGCGGATGACATTTAAATTAATATCTCCTTGGAGGTGAAGACCTGTTCATCTTATTCTGGTCTGGATTTTTCTACTCCAGCATCTCATAGGTACTTAAAGGTCAGTGTGCCCAGACTGAACACCGTGTTCTCTTGCTCACAGATTTCCTTCCTCTGAGGTCCAGAGAGCTGGATGTTCTTTGGTTCTGCTTCCCTCTGTGTCTTACCAGGGAGCTTGTTATTTGGGCTTCCCGAACAGCTCTGAGGCCCACCCTGTCTTCTGCATTCCCGCTGTTCCTGTCTGAGGTCTGTGTGCTCATTATCCTTTAAAGGGCTCGTGCTGTCACTTCCTGACTGACCTTCCTTCCTTCAGACTTGCTGCCTTCACCCCCACCCGGTCTGCACACAGCTCCAGAGCCGTCTTTCCAAATGCACACGTCTGTGACACACTGGCTCTTACATCTGTGATGGTTCTTCCTGTTTTACAGGATGAGGTCCAAACTCTTGTGCATGAAATTATAAGGTGATTGTGATTTGGAGCCTACAGCCTTTCTGACCCTCACTCTTAATCCACCAAGTCTGTGCTTCAGGAAGAGCAAACCACCTCTTTCTGCAGCACACTGTGATTTTATGCTTTTGTATATGCTGTTTTCTTTGTCTAGGATGTCTTCTATTCCCACTCCCCTTTTACCTGCTGTACTCCCTGTAGTCAGAATACCCGTCCATCCACCCACCCATCCATCCATCTGTCCATCCACCCACCCACCCATCCATCCACTCACCCATCCATCCACCCACCCATCCATCCACCCTCCCATCCATCCACCCACCCATCCATCCTTCCATCCATCCATCCACCCACCCATCCATCCTTCCGTCCATCCATCCATCCACCCATCTATCCATTTGTCCATCCGTCCATCCATCCACCTTTTATCCATCCATCCGTCTGTCCGTCCACACACCACCCATCTATCCATCCACCCACCTACCCACCCTCCCATCCATCTACCCACCCATCCATCCACCCACCCAACCATCCCCATCCATCCTTCCATCCATCCACCCACCCACCCATCCATCCATCCACCCACCCACCCCCATCCATCCTTCCATCCATCCACTCACCCACCCATCCATCCATCCACCCACCCACCCATCCATCCATCCACCCACCCATCCATCCATCTATCTACCCACCCCATCCATCCTTCCATCCATCCACCCACCCACCCATCCATCCATCCACCCACCCCCATCCATCCTTCCATCCACCCACCCCCATCCATCCTTCCATCCATCCACCCACCCACCCACCCATCCATCCACCCACCCACCCATCCATCCATCCACCCACCCACCCACCTACCCACCTACCCACCCTCCCATCCATCCACCCACCCCCACCCACCCACCCATCCATCCATCCATCCAACAAATATTTACTCAGTAGCTGCTGTATGCCAGGATTGCTGCTGTTCTTACCTGACCAGCCCTACCCACACCCTTATCCCCAGATGAACTGATCGTTTGCTCCTTATGATATGATTGTACCTTTTTCTAATCTTTCTTAGCACTCACCAGAATCTGTGGTGCCATTTGTTTACATATATGGTCCCCTACTGTGTGGGCTAGCTCCTTAAAAGATGGATCCTGTCTTCATTCAGTTGACACCTGAGCTCCAGCATAGAACCTGACACGTGGGCACAGCTGTATTTGCTGATGGAGGAGTTTTGTTTTCTCACACCTTGTTGATGTTGGTTGCTGACTGATGCAGAGGTGATGGTCTTTAGAAGGAAGTTCTCCTTTTTTGCAAGTCTAAGATGTGAATCTTACAGTTGGGGACAGGCTCACGTTCTAGCAAATCTTCACGCAACCCTCTTTGATATTTTTCTTCCATCCTGCAGAAGGGAGGGAGCATTGAGACTAGAATAAAGTTCTGTAGAGAGATTTCAGGGACCTCCAGGATTGTTAAAGGTGCCTTTGCAATAGGTTTTATTTCCTTCCTTTCTGAGGCAGGTGAGTGGAGAGGGGAGGAAAGAGCCTGAGATCACAGGGGAGGGATTCTAAGAGGAATGCATTTGACATCAGTATTTGGAGGGACGAGTTTTTGGGCTAAAGTGTCCTATAATACAGATTCCTAGGATGTGCACTGTAAGGCTGTAGTAGAAGCCGTCAAAACTTAATGTGAGAATTGCAAAGATGAGTCAGCCTTTGAAGTCAAATATTACAGTGTGAGAAAGGATACTTAGAACTCAGGAGAGGTCAGACAGAAGCAGAAGAGGGGCCACGAGGTCTCGGCACCGGTGGCTGCTTGGAATAGAGTTTTGGTATTATCATTGATTTGAGAGGAAAATGTTTCGTGCAAGCATCAGATGAATGGCCTCTTTTGTATTACCACTTGATGGGCATTTTACTTCAATACTGCTGATGACTTCTACCACAGGCAGAAAATACACCCTCCTTAGGATGACGCACATAGCCACTTGTGGGTGCTCCAAAAATGTTTAGGGAGGTTAGATTGAGATTTCGTATGACCAGACTGTTAGTGACTATCGATATGTATTAAGCCTTTCAACGGTAGTTGTTCAGCATGTCCAGTGCCAAGCACTGGAGACCCACGGCGTAAGCAGGACAGTGAGACCCGCCCTCCTGGAGCCCCGTCATCTTTCCTGAGTCTGTCATGATCAGGTCTGGACTCCAGCCCTCTTGGGAGCAGGTGCTGATGTGAAGTTTAAGCGTCGATTTCACCTTGATCCCTGGTTTCCATTTCTCTTTCCAGAAGTGCTTTCTTTATCACTTGATAAAAACCAGCAGATGGATAGCATTGCCCTTCACCTACCTGCATGGACCTGGGTCAGTTTATCCTGGAATTGCTCATCTAGAGGGGATATTTCTTCTTGGCCTTCTATAAAAACTAGGAACCTCTGAGATGTGCTTTTCTCCCACAAATATGTGTATTTTATAGGTTGCATTTTAATGATCTTTTGTTTCCTTTTCAGAAGGTAAGAGGGGCGTCTGGTGGAGCTTTACCAAAAAGGAGGAATTCCAAGATTTTTCTAGGTAAATAGTTACCCGTAGCATGCTCAGATTTTACGTTTGTGTGTGTACGTGTGCAGACTCATGTGCGTCTTTTTTGATTCGGAGTAATAGATGGTTTATTGCTGTGCAATTTAAGGCTAAGAGGCACTGATTTAAAAGCCTGCCTCCACTCTGCATTTAGCTACCAGTGAAGTGTGCTTTTAGCTCTCCTAGTTGGGTTCACTGCTTTGAAGCAGTTATACTTAGAGTGACTAGAGAGCAACGATAACTCTGCCTCTGGTCTGTTTCCTGCTTATTTGTAGTTTTTGAGACAGGGTCTGGCTCTCCTGCCCAGGCTGGAGGGCAGCGATGCCATCTTGCCTCACCACAGCCGTCAGCTTTCAAGCGCAAGCCATTTTCCCACCTCATCCTCCTGAGTCGCCAAGACCACAGCCACACACCACCACAACTGGCTAATTGTTTGTGTTTTTTGTAAAGACGGAGTTTCACCATGTTGCCCAGGCTGGTCTCAAACTCCTGAGCTCAGGTGATCCGCCTGCCTTGGCTGGGATTTCAGGTGTGAACCACTTGGCCCGGCCAATTTTTCGCTGACTTTAAATAACTGCCCCTCGCAGTGGCTCACGCCCGTACGTCCAGCACTTTGGGAGGCTGAGGCAGGAGGATTGCTTGAACCCAGGAGTTTGAGATCAGCCTCGGTAACATAAAAAGGCCCTGCCCCTACCCCAAAATGAAATAATTAGCTGAGTGTGGTAGTGTGTGTGTAGTCTCAGTGACTTGGGAGGCTGAGGCAGGAGGATTGCTTGAGCCCAGGAAGTGAAGGCTGCAGTGAGCTATGATTGTGCCACCGCACTCCAGCCTGGGCGGGACCCTGTCTCTCGGGGAAAAAAAAGGCGTTTTTTTCCTTTTTCTTTTTAAAATTAGCCAAACGGCAGGCTTCATTGAGATCTCATAATTTTTCTCCCACCCATGTCCTTTCTGTGTTTTGGGGTCCAGTCCAGGGCTCCACGTCGTCTTTAGCTGTCGTGCCTGTTTAACCCTTTCCAGACTCTGATCGCTCTGCAGGTTTTCTTTGTCTCTAGTAATCTGACACTTTGAAGAGTGTCGGCCAGTTAGTTTGTAGAATAGACCTCAGTCTGGTGTTATCTGATGTTTTCTCATGAAAAATGTGAAGCTAAGCATTTTGGAAAGAATCCTGCAGCCACAGCCGACCCTTCGCAGTGCGTGGTGTCGGGTGCGTGACGTGGGTGAGCTGTCACACTGGTGACGCTGAACTCGAGCGGCGTTAAGGTAGCGTCTGCTGGGTTTCTTCACTGTAAAGTTACAGTGCGATTAAGAAATGTTTCAGGAATGATACTTTGAGACTGTGCCAAATATCTTGTTTCTCCTCAAAGTTTTACTCACTGATTTTAGCACCAGGGGAACTTGCCTGCAATAATCACAGCTCTAGTGTTTGGTTCATGGTGGATTTGAAAATTTCCCTTATTCAGAAGAGCCAGATTTGTTTATGCAAATGACTACTGATTTCTATATCATATAATTATGGCCATAGTTTATATTAAGCTTCTGATATGCTTTTCTCAAGCAAAAAGTGGTTTGATACTATTTGGCCGAACAAGTTTATATACCTGAATGCCTCAGATTATTGTCTGGGAGGACTTGCAAAATAGTGTCCGCAGTATGATTTCATTTTTGTAAAAAAATGCCATACATGTATACACATGTGTATAGAGATACAGATGTATGTGTGTGTGTGCATGCATGTATGTCTGTGTGTGCATACGTTTCTACATACAAATTCATACATGTACATACATATCTGGGAATTGGAAGACTCTGGAAGAATATTCCAGTTGTTAATAGTAGCTCTTTCCCAGTCATAGAATGGAAGTGATTCTGATTTTCGTCTTTTTGCTTATCTGTATTTAAGCTTTTTCTATAACAAACATGTTATTGTGATGAAAAGATACGTGAATTTTTTTTTTTTAATTTTTTTAAATTTTTTTTGAGACGGAGTTTCGCTCTTGTTGCCCAGGCTGGAGTGCAATGGCGCGATCTCGGCTCACCGCAACCTCCGCCTCCTGGGTTCAGGCAATTCTCCTGCCTCAGCCTCCTGAGTAGCTGGGATTACAGGCACGCATCACCATGCCCAGCTAATTTTTTGTATTTTTAGTAGAGACGGGGTTTCACCATGTTGACCAGGATGGTCTCGATCTCTTGACCTCATGATCCACCCACCTCGGCCTCCCAAAGTGCTAGGATTACAGGCTTGAGCCACTGCGCCCGGCCCCCTCACATGAATTATTTGAAAAGTAAAGCCATAGAGGACTGCTGTGGAGTTGGGTTTCTTTCCTGGCTTGGTTCTCGGGTGCTCTGTGCGGGACCCAGGCTTACTGTCTCCCCTGCTTCTCAGCTCATGCTTTTCTGTATGATGCTTCTCTGCAGTTGGCTTTTCTGCCCTGGCCAGTCTTCCTTACTTCTCAACCTGCCTTTGGTCCACAGCCCAATTTAACCAACCAAACCCAAACCAGGCTAGCATGAAACCCAAAGCTGAAACTGCTGAATGCCTCCTGATGCTTTGCTTGTCAGGCATCCAGCTCTTTTCACTAATATAGATCATATGATTTTGTTTGAATTAAGTGGCATTAGCAGGATCTTCCTGAAAGCAGAAATAACTAAACATTTTGACTTACCGTTGTTAATTTTTATGTTTTCTTTGGTTGAATGAAGAAGTTAGCTGACCTTGGCCTTTAGCTTTTGTGTCTTCTTCCCAAAAGACCTTGAGGTCTCCCAAAGTGCTGGGATTACAGTTGTGAGCCACTGTGCCCAACTGATTGTGTTAACTTTAAACAAGATAGATGCTTATTTTGCTGTCATGTGGAGGGTGCTGGGAAACAGTGAGTGGGGTGACGTGGTGGCCTCATGTTCTCCAGAGACTGAGACTCTTCCCACATTCCTGCTTCCCCTTCATCCTGGCCCGTGATTTCCCACCTCAGGGTCACCTCATGGTCCAAAATGGCTACTGGAATGCCAGCCATCACATCCCGATTCTGGAAAGCATGAAAGAGGAAGGGGGAAAGGACAAAATTGTCTGATCTCCCAGCAGAGTCACCTTGCTTTTGTTGGCCTTCTCACAGAGCCCCAGTCATTTTACGCCTCTCTGTCAGAACTTGGTCATGCGGCCACCTCGCTGCACAGGAGGCTGGAAAGCCCACCAGTTGCCTTTGCTGAGTAAAGTTTGGTGTCTCTTATTAGGAAGCCGGGGACAGCAGGTGTCGTGAGGCAGCTGGTAGCCTCCGCCACAGACTCCCTTCAAAGGGATGCCGGGGTGGGTTCGTCCTGGAGAGGAGGAGAACTCGGAGCTCTCTTGCAGTTTCTCTGTGATGTTATCACTAGGAGGTGCTATTTCACTGGTGCTGAAGTTGTGATGCTCCATCTTCTGCTTCACGGAACAGCTGTAGGTGGCCAATGCTTTATCTTGGATGGAGGTGTTTTATTCCCATTCATTTGATGACTGTGAATAAATAATTCCTTTTCCGTTGCCTCAACGGTGACATTGAAGCCACTGAATTATTTGGTTGCAACCTGCAATTGATTTTATAAGGGAAGCTGAGGCCACTGGCTGGTGCCACGTGGCTGCTGCGTGTCCTGAGTACCACCTTGCCCCTCAGTGGCAAAACACTCTTCCTCCAAATTACTTTGATGTTCATTCAAGTCAAGTGACCTCAGCATTAGCTTTTGCTGCCATTTTTTTTTAAACCAGCAACCACAATTATTGGTAATTGAAAAATCATTTAAATTTTATACTTTAAAAATATTTAGAATTAATTTTTTTTTTCAGTATGTACCTCATGGGTAAAGCCTAAAATTGAGAAGTTATAAACGGCTGTTTGGTGAAAATTAAGTTTTTTCCCCTCTCTTCCCCGTATCCTAGCCTCTCGGTTACTGACTCCAGAGACAAATTTTCTGTGGGTACCTCTTTGTGTATATAGTGTATTCTCCCAGTGACTGTCTATACACATATAGAGCTTTTAGATTCTTTTTCCTGTGGTCCCTAGGGACCCATTAACCCTCTGGCTCCTAAGCCGTGTTCTGAGGCCCCTGGAGTGCTACCGTGAGCTCACCAGGGCCCTGAGGCATATTTTAAGTCTCTGAGAGAGCCTAGTGATGCTCAGCCTTTGCATGAACTAAACACAATGTACTTTTACCAGTAGGTCACCCTGTATTCCTTCCGATAACTTCACATCTTTGTAAAGCTGGGTTTTTAAAGTGGTTTCTGTGGTAAAAGTCAAGCACACCGGGAAATCAGTGTGAAGTGGGAAATCAGGGTGGCCGCAGTGGATCCGACCCAGAGAGAAGCTGTGCGTCGGCCAGCAGGTGCACGTCCCGTCAGCGAAGAGCTGCGCGATTGTGGAATGAAAGGAAATCTTTTTCTTTCGACTTACATGTATTTTTTTTTTTTTGGCAAATGGTTAATTGGTTGTTAGAACATACATACTTAACCAAGCTTTTTGGATCTAACTACTAAATAAACAGAAGCATTAGGCATTTCTTTTGGCTTAGGGTTGCTATGAAAAAAATGCTGGGATGCTTAGGGGTCCTGCGAACTGGGGGAGTTCAGCCAGAAAGATAACTTGCGAAAATATGAATGCTGGTGAGTTTGGGGCATAGGCTGATACGGAAGAGACAGTAGAGAAGCGGGAGGTAACGGGGTTCTGGGTTCTCCAAGAAACACCCTACGGTTCACAACATGATTCTGGCCTAATTCCATATATATATTTTACAATAAAGCTAAAAATTTGCATAGATATGTAAATAACTGCTGATGTATTTAATTAAAAAATACCATATATGGGGCTGGGTGCTGTGGCTCACGCCTGTAATCCCAGCACTTTGGGAGGCCGAGGTGGGTGGATCACAAGGTCAGGAGATCCAGACCAGCCTGGCCAGCATGGTGAAACCCTGTCTCTACTAAAAATACAAAAAATTAGCTGGATGTGGCGGTGCGTGCCTATAGTCCCAGC